GGGATGGAGGGATGGACAGAGGGATGGAGGGATGGATGGGTGGATGGAGGAATGGAGGGAGGGATGGATGGATGGGTGGATGGATGGAGGAATGGAGGGAGGGATGGATGGAGGGATGGAGGGAGGGATGGAAGGATGAATGAAGGGATGGAGGGAGGGATGGATGGGTGGATGGAGGGATGGAGGGAGGGATGGATGGATGGATGGATGGATGGAGGGATGGGTGGATGGATGGAGGGATGGAGGGATGGATGGAGAGATGGGCAGATGTATGAGTAGATACGGGGATAGATGATTGGGTGGGTGGGTGGTTAATGGACAATGGATGATGGTGGTCTCTGCTGGGTAGATGGATGGATGGATGGGTGGGTGGTGGATGGTGAGGGATAGATGTGTGAATGGGTAAGTAGGTTGACGAATATGTGGATGGATGGGTGGATATATCAATGGTTGGCTGAGTGGATGGCTGAATGGATGGATAGATGGAAGAGTAGATGGATTGAAAAATGGTTGGATGGATGGATGGCTCAGTGGAGCCTGGGGTCTGACTTTTATAACTGAAATTCATACTTTTTGGGTATAGGCTTATGCTTTGGCAAGGACAGTCTCATGATATATAATTTTAAATTGGCAATTGAGTGCAGTACAAGGCAGTAGTTCACCTGCCTGGTTGGGCTCCCTGTTGTGTTCTGTGCTTCCTACTCAAGAAGCGCAGGGAGATGTAGCCAGCACTTACCATAGATTTAAGCATTTGGGTCTCAGAATGGGTTTAAAGAGGGAATAGGCAATGGAGGACTCACGCAAGCCCTCATGTTGCCTAATCATCTCTATGGTATTTGTTATTTACAAAACACTTAGGATAAGTTGGGTACTGGGTAAATGACTTGTCCTCATTTTATAGATAGAAAACTGAGGAATGAGATTCACACATCGTGACACTCACCTCTGGTCCTTCTGGGTCAGGACTCAGGCTAGCACCCACATGAGACTCTGGAGCCCACACCTGTGGCTCTATTCCTCTCTGCCCTGTGGAATCTTCCTGGGATACCACACAGTACTTTTCCCGCCAGGAGCCAGGCTGGTCTGCTTCCTGTGAGTCCAGGTCAGCAAGCCCAGGGCACAGTGTACAAGGGAGAACAAGATGGCAGGTGGTGCCCAGAGTCTCAGCCACAACTACGGCAAAAGGGAGAAGGCCCTGTGGATCCTGGAATCCTTTGGCCCCAGATAGGAGGCAGTGCTGCCCACCGAAGGAGGTGGCGGTGCCCAGTCACTCTGTGCTGACAGCTCCAGTGGACCCTGGCACATGCCTGGCTCTTCTGACTTTGCCCCATGAGCGACATCCTCTTTGCACTCTATCTCCACCTTCCTGGCCAGCGCAGACCCTGCTCCATTCTGCAGCTATCCCTGACTGGTCCGGGGCTGCAGCTGCCAGTCTCTCCTGTCCCATGTCCACAGTCAGGGTCTCTGCTGGCCAATCGAGCTGTCCCCTGGGACACAAGGGACACTGTGAATGGTTCTCTGCACTGTGAAGAGAGAGCAGGCGTGCCGTGCATGGGGGGGCATGGGGTGGCACAGCGAACACGGTCGCTGTGAGTTCTCACCCCGAAGATGCACTCAGGGTAGGTGTGTGGCTCCGTGTCATTGGAGGGACGGGGCAGGGCTCTGTAAGGAGCAGCTGTGGCAAAACACTACTTGTGCGGCAGAGCCGATCAGCCCCACTGGCAGCCGTGAGCCTCTCAGGACCCGGGCTCCGTGTGCCTTTCCCTTGGAGCGACCCCCGAGTGCCCCCGGAGCTGACAGCCACAGCTCCAGGCCTGTCCTTTGATGAAGGCAGAGGGCTCTTGACTTGAGACGTTTGAAGAAAGGTGCTGGTAGCGGTGTGCTCTGCGTGTCGTTTTCTCCTGGCTTCCTTCCTAGCTGGCCTTCCTTGTTAGTCTGGATTGGAAATCCCCAACACACACACAGACACACTCAGACACAGACCCACGTGCTGCACACAGAGACGCACACAGGCGGACACACATGTGCACAAACACACCATCTGGATATCCCCAACACACACACAGACACACTCAGACACAGACCCACGCGCTGCACACAGAGACGCACACAGGCGGACACACATGTGCACAAACACACCATCTGGATATCCCCAACACACACACAGACACACTCAGACACAGACCCACGCGCTGCACACAGAGACGCACACAGGCGGACACACATGTGCACAAACACACCATCTGTATAAACCTTTCCGGGCTCAGAAATGCCTGTCTTGGCGGCAGGTGCTGATCAGGGAAACCTCGTTTGTGTTCACAAGAAATCCTACCTTTGAGAAGCCCACCATTCTCCACTCACTGGCCGCCTTCTCAGCCCCCTCAAGCTGTGTGGCCTCAGAGAGAGCACAGCGGTGCCTCTGAACCCACCCTACGCATGAGGCTCCCACCCTATGATGCCAGCCAAGGCTGGTGCCCAAGGGGTGCCAGTGCGCCAAGGTCTGCTGCATCTGCAGCTCTGGCCTGAGCACCTGCACCTCAGGGACAGCTCCAGGTGCCCAGCGCTCCGCCATCCCAAGCCGGCTGTGTGGGTGCTCTTCTCTTTCGGGGACAGGAGGATCTCGAGTTGAAAGCAGCGGTCTGTGCTGCTTGCCCCTGTGACCTGTGCACGTTTAAAGAAAACTCATTGTCCAGGAGGCGGCCTCCAGCCGTGCCATCATCCTGGGCCCCTGCCTGGCTCCGAGCAGTGAGGTCAGTCGGCTGAACGGTGGTGGCACCGGTTGGTGGGGGCCCCCAGAAAGTGCTCTTCCCTGTGAGCCCACAGCCCTCTCCACCCCTCAGCTGAGACTCACACAGGGTCTCACGCGGGGTCTGAGGTCCCCCGTGGTGCCTGGCCTGACTGCCGCCTATGCTACTACACTGCCTCTGTGCTTGGCCATGGAGGCCACTGCCTTGCCTGTCCACCACGGAAGCAGGGGCTTGGGGACAGCGGCGCCATGTGAGGGACACGTCTCCTCAGGGTTCTCGTCCCTGGCGGACGCCTCAAGGTGACTCACGTTTACTTCTGTGGTTGGGTGCTTGGGGGAGCACCTTGCACCCCAGCCACCCCCACCCACCTCTGATCTCTCCCTTCTCAGTATGGGCCTGCCCATCCCCCTGAGGCCGAGCCCTCTCAGATGTGGGGCTGGGCTCCCCTCACCTAGTTGCTTTGCTGTGGCTCCCAGTTTGGAAGCAGCTCCCACGTGTCCCCACAGGTCCTGGCTGTCTGAGGTGAGGACCACACACGTGCACCCTCACGTGGGTGGGGCCCAAACAACAGGACCGAGTTCCTGCTTCACAGGAGCCAGACCCAAGTCACCATGAGCACTGTGGGCTCCTTTCTAAAACCCAGTGCCGAAGCCCCTAAGCCTACACCCCTGCCCCAGGGACACCTCTGTCTTCCGGTGATGCCCATCTGCCCACCCAGGGCCACGCCTGTCCTCCGTGTGTCACCCACCCAGCCCCACCGCTGAGGGAGACACCCAAGGGGGCAGCTGATGCACAGACCTCTTAGGAAACCACTTCTGTCCTGGCTTCTCTGACTGTAAAGTGATCCATCCGCAGTGTCAGGCACACGAAGGGGCAGAAAGCCGGTGAAGCACACAGAGGTGATGGAGCCTGGGCCACGTTGAAAGGAGCCCAACAGACAAATTCCCACCTCGCCTGGGGATAGGGCCGGGGGACATGGGGAAGGGAGAAGGGCCTGGGAGGGGAGGGGAGGGGTGATGGCCTTTCCACCATTCAGTCGGGTGCAGCTTGGATGGAAAGGGCCCCTGCAGATGGGCACCCTCCTGCCTCGCGCTGGGCGTCCTCCCTTCCTCCCCATCGGAGTGCAGGTGGACACCCGGGGCTGCCATGTTGGTCATTCCTCACACTACTGGGCAAGACTCCTGACAGCACAGCTTAGAGGGGAGCAGGCTCACGTGGTCTCAATCTGAGCTCCTGCCTGCTGGATACATTGCAGAGTGTAATGGTGGAAGGGTGTGGTGGAGCACAGCTGCCCATGTGGTGGTGGCTGGGAAGCAGAGCCTGAGGGAAGAGGCCAGCCCGAAAGATGCAGCCTCCAAAGGCCCCAGTGGCCACCTCCTCTCGGGCCCTCCTTACAGTACCCCAGCTGTGTGCCTCAGTGAGTTTGGCGGCCCATGTCCTGTCAGCTCCCCAGCAGCTCCTCACCCTGCCGTGTGGCAGGGAAGATCTTCAGTCACACTGTCCCTCCTTGCCAGGGGTGGAGGGTGGAGGCCTGGGCATCAACAGGACACCGGGGGAGGCTTGGGATGTCCCAGGGCTCTGGGCCTCCCGGCTCCAGCTTGTGGCTGTCACTGGGGAGAGGGCCCCTTAATAAGGATAACTTCTGGAGTCCCATCAGCTGTGCTCCAGCTGGCTGTGTGAGGGGAACTATATCCCTCTGCTGCGGTGGAGCCTGATCTGTGCCATTGCCCTGGGGCACACTCTGAGCTTCCCCTTCCTGAGTCTTGGGCACCACACAGGGCCAGGGCTGCCGTGGTGCATGCGACGGGTCAGCCACGCTGCCCAAGGCTCCCACTTAGCTCTCCCCTAACGTGCTGTGGGGAATGGCAGCTGTCCGTGTCCACAGTGGCACAAGCCCAGGAGGGTGCTGGGCTCTGTGTACTCCCTTGGGCCTGCAATCGGCTCTCCAGGCGAGAGAGAAGCAGCTTCTCACAGCTAGATCCTGCCCAGCCTTGAGGGAGGTTCCCTGGAGCCACCCTCTGTCCCCAGCCAGGTTAAGGAACTTGTCCTGCTCTGGGTTCCTACTTCCCCTCACCCCGGCCAGAGCACCCTGGGTTTCACAGCCAACAGGGAGCCATGTCTTGACTGACTGCCGCCAGCTTCTGTGGGAAGTTTCCCAGGGAGGTCGGATGGCCTTCACGCCCTGTGGTCCAGCTGCCCTCGTGTGCTTGGGAAGGCTCAAGCCCCATGTCCTTGTGCCTTCTGTGTCTCCAGAAGAACTTGTCCGGAGTCTTCTGAAGGATCTGAGGAGGCAGCAGGCTGACATGGAGCGTGGGGCCCCGGCTGGGCTGGAGGGGATGGCAGACGTGGTTGCTGCTGCTGTGAGGAAGGGCGAGAGTCCCGCCGAAGGCCAGACCGGCCCCGGGAGAGGAGCCGAGGGACAGCCGCAGGAGCTGCTGGGAAGCCCGGAAGCTGCACTCCAAGGTGACCTCACTCCCCCGATATCTGCAGATGGGGTGGCATCGGGAGGGGACGAGGCCGTGGCCCCTCGCAGACACTGCTCCCCAGCCACGGCAGGTCTCTGCTGGGAGGAGGGGATTTGCAGTAATGATTTTCGTTTGTTTGAGTGCTTGCCTCTAGAAGCTTTCCCAACAGACTTAGCCTGCCGGAGCAGGGAGGCTGAAGGGCAGATTGCTTTCTGCGAGGAGCTTTCATTCCCCCGCGCTGAGGCTCGGGTTAGGACAGCGGGCGATGGGGAGGGTTTTAGTTTGGATCCTACTATGAGTGGGTACTGCCAGACATTCGAATAATAAAGCTCGTCCGGCTGCCTGGTTCCCTAAGGTCACCCCTCCACTGCCACTCCATGTAGCTGGGGGCAGCCACCCACCCACCCTTGATGCGGTGCCCCTGGGGCATATCAGGTCCCTCAGTGCAACCCTCAGTGCCTGCATGCGGCCTGCTCATGGGCGATACGGCAAGGCCCTTTGCTGTGGGTGGGGTGGGGCCTGTGGGAGTGGGCATCCTGCCTGGTGTCAGTGGAGGACACAGCAGGAGGCAGTGGGTGCCACGTGGTTGTCGGCTGGCTGAATACAGGCTGGAGGGTGTGCAGTGGGTCACACACCCAGGGCCTGGAGGGTAGGGCATTCAACTAGGGAAATGTCAGCCGCAGAGGGGTCGACCGAGTCAGGGTGGTGGAGCTGTCTTAACAATGAGGCCGTTGAGTCGGACTCTTCACTGTACATTTCCCTGATGGTGCCTGGGGTGGGACAGCGCATTTCCTTGACGGTGCCTGGGCGCGGGACAGCGGGCTCTATGTGGGAACTAACACGGAGGCGACCTTGGCCCTAGGCCCTGGGAAGTGCTCTCCATGGCCAACTTCTGCCGTAACTGGCCTCTCTCCTGGTTTATAAGATGCCGACTGGGGCTGTGGACAGAAAGATTCCCTTTGTGGGTGAGACTGGGCCCCAACGGTCACGGCTGTCCTCAGGGAGCTCTTTCATGCTGACGAGGCCGTGGTGACACTTCTGTCTGTTACAGGTGACAGAGCATGGGAAGACAGCAGCCCAGGCTCCAGCGAGGTAAGACAGAGCCCCAGTGCCGGGCTCACTGCCCACTGTGTTGTGATCCTCTCATTCAAGGTTAGAGCAGCTGTGAAAAGCAAAGTCCAGGAAAGGGTACCTGGGGTGAGGGCAAGGAGAAAAGAAGGAAAGAAGGAAGGGGAAAAAAAAAAAAAA